GCCCAGTGCCCGGAGCCTGAATGCATCCCTAGACCACAAAGGCTTCCGGCCTAAGCAGCTGACTTCCCAGGTGCCGTGACTTCTGTAGGAGCACTCTCCCACTAGTGTCCACGCTGTCACTCTCTCGTTAGTCAATAAAGCGACAGAAACAAAAGTGCACACGGCTTTCCTCTCTAAACTGGGGGTTCTCACATGGGGGCAATCTTGCCACCCAGGGAACATTTGGCAGTTTCCGGAAACATTTTGAGGTGTCATTGATATGGCATTTTGGGACTGGAACATGTGTTCCCCTGGATGGAATGGTTCCCCAGATTCTTTGTCCGTTGGAGCCAAAGAATGACTGGGCAGAAAATGGTATAGCAAAGGTGGAAATTTTTTTTTTGGGGGGGGGGTTACAAAGTTTATATTTTATTTATTTTAAATTTTGTTTTATTGCTTAAAGTATTAATCAAAGGTGGAAATTTATTGAAGAACGAGTCCAGACTCCCATGTGGGGAAGCAGAAGGAATCTCACAGCACAGACTCCCACGTAGGGTGAGGGCGAAAGAGTCCCACCCTGTCCCTTCTCCCACAGTTTATCAAGGCTGCAGTTTTCTGTGCATGGATATCCCTTCTGGTTGGCCACTATCCCCCTTTGATTTGGTCACTGTAGTAACTTCTGAGCTCAAAGGTCAAAACCTGACCTGGGAAGTGTGGGGCCCTCCTCCCTCATTGTTCTCCTGTTCCCTCTGGGCCTTCTTCCTCCTTTATTTTGTAAATATAGACCTTTTGCTACTTCCAGTTTCCTTGTCTTATGGAAATGTAACTTCTCCCAGAGTGTAGCCCTGTGTTTTTTCCATATCGACCTTTAATTTTTTAAAATTTCCTAAACCTGCCTATATTCCCCCCTAAAATTCCCATTTCATCACAATGGTGGGGGACGTGGAGGGTGAGGCTATTGCTAGTGGGGAGAGGCCAGGGGTGCTGCTAAACATCCTGCAATGCACGGACCATCCCTGTAAGACAGAATTATCCAGCCCCATGTGTTGACAATGCTGCTGTTGAAAACTCTTCTCCATTCAAAAAAAAGGAGGCTTCTCTTCATCTGTGACCAGCACTCACCGTGCTGACACCCTCATGTCACTCCTGAATTTTACTCTTGGAATTAAGCAGCTGATCTTCCTACAAATCATTTCCTCCCAAGAAGCAGCTGAAGAGTAATAATGGCAATTCCTGGGTTGTCACTACTAGTATGTGCCAGGTTCTGGGATAGGGCCTTTACACACTGCACCTCACTATTCTCCATTTTCAGGAGAGAAAACGTAGGCTTGGGGCAATTAAATAAGTTGCAGATGTATGCAAAACTTAGCAATGTAAAGGCAGGAATCAACCCTGAACGCCATAATGTCTGCTCTTTAGTGCAATGTCTTTCTAAGGAAAACCAGCATTTGTTCAATTCTTGGAGCAATGGCATTATACCCAGAATTCTTTTTCTCATCATGAGAATTTTTCATCTTCTAACAAGAGCATTTGTTGAATAAATATGACTGTAATTATGGTCATCCATCCCTTGGAGCAAATTTGATAGATGGATTTTATTTTTATTTTTTTTGATAGATGGATTTTAAAACACACAGTATTTTTTAAAACTCTCCACTTTCAAAAAGAAGAAAAGCTATATATTTTCTGTATTTTAGTCTCAAATGTAAGGCATCTCTTCATTTTTGGAACTTCCAGACTACTGTGTATGCTTTATGACAGAACAAGGTAAGATTACAAGAAGCTTGCTCTATCTTGAGGTTCTCATGTTAAGAGATAGATGAAAGAAAGAAAGAGAGAGAGAAACACTTTGTAACCGTTCAATAGCATATTGAATTTTTCAAGTCATGTGCCGGCCTCCTCCTTTGTCCTATGTATTAGTTTTCTGCTGCATGACAAATGAAAACAAGCAGCAATTTCAGACAACGCCCACTTCTTAGCTCCCCGTTCTGTGAGTCAGAAGTTCTGGCTCAGCCACAACATAACTGGGTTTTCTGCTCAGGGTCGCCCAGGCTGAAATCATGGTGTCATTCAGACTGAGCTCTGGTCTGGAGGCTCCGTGGAAAATCCACTTGGAAGCTCATCCAGGTCTTTGAACGAATTCATTTCCTTGTAGTTAAGACTAAAGTCTCATTTCCTTGCTGGCTGTTGCTCTCAGATCCTAGACTGATCTCTAGTCCTTGCCAGGTGGTCCCTTCCATCTCCAAAGCCATTAGTGGGGTTTCTATTTTTTGATCATGAATTTACTTCATACTTTGAACCTCTCTCCAGGAAGAGCCCGATTCCTTTTAAGGGCTCACCTGATTAGGCCAGGCCCACCAAGGACAGTCTCCCTATCTTAAGGTCAGTTGATTTGAGATCTTAATTAAATGGGGAAAATCCCTCAGAGCAGTACCTAGATTAGTGTGTTTTTAATTTATTTTTTATTGTTGACATTATAAATTTGTGTTTGATTGAATAATTGGGAGGGTGTGTGCACCAGGAGGGCAGGGATCTTGGTGGCCTTAGAATCCTGCATGGTTTACAGTCTGTAAATTCCTTGATGGCAAAAATCCAGGCCCCACCCTGTCTGGTTTGGCTCAGTGGATAGAGCGTTAGCCCAATGACTAAGGGTCTCGGGTTCGATTCCGGTCAAGGGTACATATCTCAGTTCACTGTAGGAATGCAGGTTTGATTTATTAAGGTAAGTCAAGGAGAAAAGAATTCCTATTCCAGCCTGGCCAGTGTGGCTCAGTGATTGAACATCAACCCTTTAACCAAGAGGTCATTGGTTCGATCCCAGGTCAGGGCATGGGTTCAGTCTCCATCTCCAGTAGGAGGCATGCAGGAGGCAGCCAAATGATGTTTCTCACTCATTGAAGTTTCTATCTCTCCCCCTTCCTCTATCTCTAAAATCAGTAAAAACATATTTTTTTAAAAAAAGAATTCCTATTCCAAAAATGTGCAAGAGAAAACTTTCCATAATCACATCTATACTATTGAGTAAAGGGTGTGTTCATATGTCATGAGCTTCCCTTGCCCAATCTGGTAGCCCTTTGAGGGAGGGGCCACATATTCACATTTATATCCCTAGGGCTAGCACGGTGCCTGGTTCAGAAGACAAACTTTAAAAATAAAAGCTGATGGAATGTTTGTAGAATGAATGCTATTTAAGAGTCATTGCTGGTAGTCATTCAATTCCTGCGGGCGAGGGCTCTCTCCAGCACATTTTCTGCAATCCAGCAATGCCTGTCGAGTCCGGGCAGCCAACGAGCGTTCAACAGGTGCGGGTGTTGGGCCACGCACTGTTTTAAAATGTACTTCTGCTCTCGAAACTAGCAGCTGATCGCTTTAGGTTATGCACTTCGCAGTGAAGCTGAATACTAGCCAAGACAGTGTCATGAGGCTTATTTCTAAGAAATACTCAGCTTTATGCTTGGGGGTGGGGGGGTCCTTTCCCTTTCCAAATGGACGCTCAGATCAGTGTTTGGGGAAACATTTCTTTGCCTCCATGAGAGGGCAGCGCGTTGATTCTGAAATAGAAAAGTGCAGTGTTTCCTTAGGTTTTCTCAGCTCCTCCGCTGCTAGCCTCACACAAGGGACAAGTTATCTGCGACTCTGTGGCTGTCCCTGCATTTCAATCGCGTTCGTGAAAGCGGTAACAGGGACCTCCAGCTTGCTCTGCTGCACTGTAGCCGGGGAAGCCACGGGCGTGGGGCCCGCGCTGAGACATCACCCCACTCGCAAACCGGGACGCAGGCCTCAGACTCCAGTGATTGGCTGGGGCCCATCACGTCACAGCCCGGGGTGGCCCCGGCCTCGCCAAGGCCCCGGGATGCTCCAGGTTCCTTTATTTAAAAGGGGG